GTACTGAGTTATATTATTGGTTACTTGGTTATTTTACCGAAATTTGATAAAAGTAGTAGAGGTTATTGCTTTTTGATCTTTGAATAAATATCTAAGTCCACTCAAGTCTTTTTTCGTATATATAATAATTAAATATATGATTTTATTTTATTTTCATGTTCGATAGGTAAACAGAAACATCTTTAATTCGGACACCAAAGCGATATTGCATCGAAGAGTGATGTTTATAGCTCCAGAATCACACTTCTTCCAATGTTAACCCGGATAGCCATAAGGCCATCTGTATCCATGAACTTTTGAGGGTATCATTAAATATAAAATTATTAAAAACACTATCTCTTCCTTTTACTTAACTTTATACCTTCTCTTTCATCCTTTTACTCAACTTTTATTAATTTTATACTCTCTTTAAATATAAAATTATTAAAAACACACTCTTTCTCTCTTCAAAAGTATCAACTATTTGATACTTTTGATACTCTCTCTCTCCAAAAATACCTACTATCTCTTCTCTTTACACAAATTTATTAATTTTATATTTCAATACACCCTATTATTTCAACCAAAAACATTCTCTTTCTTCTTTTTACTCAAATTTTAATAATTTTATATTTAATGATACTCACCAAAATTCACCAATACGGATGCCCTAACGTTCTAAAGCTTGCTGTTTTGATCAAAGTAATATTTACTTTTCACACGTTTTTGACATTTTACTTTGCAGTTAAAATGTTGACGTTGCAAAGTTTTTTCCTTTCCTTCGGAGAATCATTTAGGTTTAGTTGAGTTTGACCTGTTGTTTGCAGATGTGTCTTTGGGGACATTACGATGACCTCTTCCGGTTTTATCGCTAGCTACTTTAGAAGGAATTAATACATTGGAGTTGTAATAATTTTCAAAAGATGATATATCAATAGATACTCCTTTCTTCTCAGAGGCCGTTTTCACGAATAAACTTACTGCTCGAGCCCATCTCACCATAGTCCACGTCAGTTCTCTCCTTTCTTCAAACGTTATCTCCTTCGAGCCGTTCTTCTTCATCACAACAAAAAAATGTCCCATTGACGATAAGGCATCCATAAGCCTCCACGGATCCTATCAAAATCAATCCTTTCCATTATTATTTGCAACCAACATGATCATATATATACCTTACGAATGTTATTGTCTAATTAAAACTCACCAATGTTCCGCCTTTAGTACCATTCAATGCAGACATAGCTACATAGAGTTTCATAGTTCTAGTTTCCATCTCGATCGGAAGGGGTACTACATCTGAACCAATGCGTACTATATCTGAACCGGATGATGCTAACTTATAGCCGGCCATGTAATCATTCAGCTTTGCAAAGAAACCCTTGAACTCCGCGCTTGCGAGGCACTTAACCTCTAGGTCAGTCACGAAATCTAACATACCTTTGTAAGCGAAAGGCTCAAAATCTTTCCTCATTTTGGGGAAGTTTTCCAAGTAGAGGGGTAATGAGAATGATCCTTGTGTTTTATTGGCAGATCTTTGAAAAACAGAAATATTATAATCAGATTCGTTAGAATTAATACGAAAAGGTGATAGATCTATAGTTTTGCCTTTCATCTCGGAGGCCTCCTTCGCAAATCGACCGATGTGTACAATCCATCCTACTATATGCCTATACAATTGGTTTTGTTGTTCCAAAGGCATCTCCTTCGAACTGCTTTTCGTCCTCTCATCAGCAATAAACTTTCCCATTGAACCCACGCTACTTACCATATTCCAGTAATACACCTATCACAAAAAAAAAAAAAAACACAATCTTTCTAATCTAAAATCGTGACAGACATGTTGGCGTTCCATATGAATGTAAGTGTCTAATAAAAAAAACTTACTGATGTTCCATCTTTAGTCAATGCAGACATAGCCTTGGAGAGCTGCTTAGTTTTCCTTGACATCTCGACCTGAGTGTCTATTAATCCGGATGATGTCGTTTTAAAGCAAAAATCTATGTAATCTTTCAGTTTTGCAAAGAAATCCTTAAACTCCGTGGTCGCGGGACATATACCCTCCAACTCACCAACGAACTCCAATATACCTTTGTGAGCGAAAGGCTCAAAGTCTTTTTTCATTTTGGGGAAAGTGTCACTAAGATGGGTTAATATGTCCGTCCCTTGTGTGTCCCTTCCTTGTGTTCGATAGACAACAATTAATGCAACAAGTAACATTAGATAAATAGCTAATGAATTTTTTGCCATTTAATTTTTAGAAGATAATCGAAAATAAAGGGGGCGAA